AGCATTTTAGAAAAATGAGCTTTGAACCTTTCCCAGGCAAGACATAAGAAAAATTACTAAAGAACATCTCTCCTGTTGTTTAAGAGTGATTGTTCTTAAACCACTATTCTGAAGGCAAAGAAGATGGCCTGAAAACTTTTATACTTTTTCAATTTCTGCTTCTAATTAATGAGTTGACAAGAACTTCCTTAGACTTGTCTTTAAAAAAAAAAAAAGTCAGGGAAAAAATTCTAAGACTAACTTTTTGGGACTTCTAGATTCAGTTGGGTTTTATTCTTTCTTTTTTTAAGCAAGAATTCCTCACCTTACCACTGTATAGCCCATCCTCCATATAGGCCATACAACAATTCCTATAAAATATTGCTCCGTAGGGGGTATTTGGGGCATTGGGAATCCAGTTGAAACAGAAAATTTAGTCATTATTTAAGGACTGAGCACATAGAAGTTTTGTTTTCTTTCCCCAAAAGGAAAATGTTGGGCCATTTGTTTCTTTTTTCCCCTTTCCTTTAATCACCCAGAATTGGTTGATGGCACAGTGCTGAAAAAAAGCACATGTGGAAATATATTTGCAAGAACTCAACTTTGAGTGGATCCTTTGCTTCCCTCTAGAAGGGTTAAAGGCCCCCTACACAAATTTCTAGGGAATGGGGAGGGGGTGGAGTTCACAATGCACTAGAGCCAGAAGTCTACACATATCTGAGTCTGCTCCCTACAGCGCAGCCCCTTTCAGCATCATAAGCTTTTTGGCATGAAGATGTCAGTTATTTTTGTACCCCATTATACAACAAATAAATATTTAAGCAAATATAATCTAAACATAAAAGAACCCGTTTCCACTTACTTCTTAGACTTTCTTCTTTGGGCATGGGACCACTGGAAGCAAAGTTACTTGCTTTTCAAAATCACATTGGAAATTATATAACCAACCCAGAAAGTTCGGAATCCTGGCCCAGCTCTCCTGCTTCCACAGAAAGCACCTTGCACAGGGGTGGACAACCTTCTGCCTCAGCTCCCCACTTTCTTAAACCACAAAGCTCCCAGGAGGGGTGAATGTCCAAATTCACACAGGGATAAAGCATCCAACCTTCATTTGCAAATTCAAAATCCAACAGAGAAGATTTTCATGAGTTTAATGACTCTCTAAGGTTTTATGTTCTCAGTAGCTCCTGCCATGAAATATAGTAGAGAGAGAATCCCGCCCCCCTCCCACCCCCATCCCCACTTTAGGGAGGGGGCTGCCCTCGGGCAGGATGCTAACCTAGTCCGAGGGCGGCCTGTGTGTCCCAGGTCCACCCCCCCAGTACCTTAGAGCCCAGTGAGGTGACAGCAGGCCCGGCCTGCCCCCGTAGCTTCGGCTCAGCCTGGAGCAGGGAGGGATGGGCCCAGGGTCCCCACTTCTATAAGGTCGTCAGGTCTGTGTGGTGGTCCTTGGCCATGGGCTGCAAATGCTGGCCTGGAGCCGCTGAAGAGGAGCAGGAGGAGGAAGAAGAGGAAGATGACGATGACCTGCCTTTGGTGTTGGGCAGCTTGTGGTCCTTTTTCCACTTCATCCTCCGGTTCTGGAACCAGATCTTGATCTGGCGTTCGGACAGACACAGGGTGTGAGCGATTTCAATCCGACGGCGCCGGGTCAGATACCTGTTAAAATGAAATTCCTTTTCCAGTTCTAGGACTTGCTGCCGTGTGTAGGCCGTTCGGGACCGCTTGGGCTCCCCACCGGTGTAGTTAGGATTCACTAGGAGACAAAACAGACGGTACAGCCAGGTCAGCGCCGGGCCACCACTTAGGCCCCTGCCTCGCTGCTCACTTCCTGGCGCGCTGAGGCCTCGGCCCTCCCTGCGCTCCCAAGCTCCTCGGGCTTCTTCCCTCCCGCCCTCTCCTAGGGCGCACACACTCTCACCCACCCAATCCCTCCCTCCCGCAGGCTTGAGGTGTAGGTTCCCCAAATGTGCTCCCTTCTCCCCGGCCCACCTCGAGCTCTGGCATCCCCAAGCAGTTTGGAAATCCCCTTCTCCACCTCGTTCCCTGCACTCTGAAAATGGAGTCTTCCCCCACCCCACCCCCATCCCCACCCCCTTTTGCGCCCACAGCCAAGCAGCCAGCCACATGGTCACCGCCTGCTCCCTCTGCTATAAAAATTTATGGAGAGAGTAATTGCGGTATCCAAGGAAGCTCCGCATGCCCCGGTCCACTCGCAATGTCCCTCCCAGGGGCTCAGGCCACCAGACTGGGGAGGAAACCGCGAGGTCACCGAACCCCGCGCCTTACCCGAATTCACGTGCACCTTCTTCATCCAGGGGTAGACTACCGCTGGCTGCTTGAGTGCTGTCCCGGGGGACGGCTGCTGGGGTGCCCCGGGCTGGCTGCAGGCCCGGGCGCCAGGCAGGGGCGCTGGCGGGGGCGCTGGGGGCGCGGGGCACGGCTCTCCTGGGGCGCCGTAGTGACCACCAGGGCCACTGGGTTCTTGCCCGTGACCCCGCGTGGGCAGCGCTGAGCCCGGCCCAGGGCCGCCGCCTCCGAACGGCCGGCTGCTCACTGAAGTCGGGCCGCGGGTAGAGCCCCGGGGGCTGGAAGTCGGCTCCCTGCGCGCTGCCGTAGTAGTCGGCGCTCTGCTCGCCTAGGTAGCCGCCCTGCAAATATTCCTCGCACGGAGGGAACTTGGGGTCCACATACTTGGAGTTCACCATATACGAACTCATGGCCATTAATTTCAGAAGGTAGAAAATACTAATTTTTCTCGTGTTGTCTTTTTTTCTCCTTCCATAGGGCCCTCCTACTTGCTGTCAACTGAATAAAGTTGGGTGGCCATGTGACCAGGCCAGCCAATGGCGAGGGAGTGAGTTTATCACCGGGTTGGTGAGCATCTCATAATTTTCACAAATTTAACTAAATAACATACGTGTAATCGAGTGACTCGCTGGAGCACATTTGAGGGTCCCAACCAGATGTTAATGTAGTTCCAACCCCTAGCACCCCTTTTCCCCTCAGGAAATTCCAGCTTTTGTCTGCCACCAACTTTACTAACCTCTCTTGTCTTCTCCACTCACCCCCATCCCCTCCTGAAAGCAGGAGCCCCTTCTCAAAGTGGACATATTTCAAGGGAGAATGAATCCTATTGGGGTACAGGACAACGAATCCTATTGGGTAGGCAAGGCTGCCTCTTGGTTGGGCAGAGAGCCCCAGGCAAGCAGGTCTGGGCGCCTGCCCAGTCCGCAGGAGCAGGGACTCTGCCATACAAAGGCTGAGTCCTGGCTTTGTCTTCTTCAGGGTCACCCAAAAGTTACCAGAATCTGGCCAGCCTGAACCAAATTAGGCAATGAGTAACCTCCACACTTTCTGCTAGTGCCCAAGCCAGGGTGTTGCCCAGTCAAAGCTGGGCCTTGCCGATAGGGCAAGAGTCCCTGCGGCCCTGGCCCAGGCAGCTGAGGGGTGAGCAAGAAGGTGATAAGAACACCCCTACCTCACCCAAATACACCTCAAAGGTCCCTGTTGGCCTTGTTTCCCGTTTGCCTTCTTCCCAAAGGAGGGCCCTAAATACCAGCAATAGTGCAAGTTGGTACCTTTGCATCGCATGTTCCTGGAAAGCAGAGCTGGGTCAAGCTGGATTCTCTCCTCATTCCCAGTACCCCAAAACCTAGCCTTTAGACCCCATGCATTCAAGGAATCAATTAAGGTTTCTTTTTGCAGCACCACAAGAGTCTCTGTTTAAAGGTGAGGAAAAAGCTGTTTGATGTCACCAGGTGCAATCAATCCTCTTGGAGTCCAAGATAATAAAGCAGAAAGAGATGGCTGATCCACGCTGGCTGCCTCTAGTCTCCACCTCGGTCTCTAACTATTTCGGAGAAACATGAAGTTTTTGCATCGACCATATATTCCCCTAGAATCGAATCTGTGACTATGCGGATACCACACAAATTCGGTTCTACAGGGTATATATAGACAACGTTACAACCTCCTGGTCCCACCCAGAGCAGGTACCCAGACCCCTGCCAGCCCTGGCCTTTTCCTCAGAACCACAGCCAGCCCGACACAGCTAGCCGCGTTTTCGGAGATCATTCAGGTAGCCTGATGGGCTTGGCGACAATTTGCAGCAACGAATTCCCTCATTCTTTTGCCCAGCCGGGGTTACTGAGCAGCCAAGCAACAAGGACATTCTTCTTAAGAGAGAAAGAAAGAAAAGGGGGGAAAAAATCCAACCTAGAGATGGCGGCGGCTTTATTACCCACCCCCCCCTCTGAGATCTAAATACCCTCCCCCACTTATCAAGTGGTATTTTCCAGAAAGGAGCAAATGCCCTCAGCGGCAAAAAGAAAAGAGGCACGAGAGGAACATCCTCTGTCCATTCCTTTTCCCACTGCCTAGCCAGCCAGGTTGGCTGCAGAAGCTAGGTAGAGTCTCTGTTTAAAGGTGAGGAAAAAGCTGTTTGATGTCACCAGGTGCAATCAATCCTCTTGGAGTCCAAGATAATAAAGCAGAAAGAGATGGCTGATCCACGCTGGCTGCCTCTAGTCTCCACCTCGGTCTCTAACTATTTCGGAGAAACATGAAGTTTTTGCATCGACCATATATTCCCCTAGAATCGAATCTGTGACTATGCGGATACCACACAAATTCGGTTCTACAGGGTATATATAGACAACGTTACAACCTCCTGGTCCCACCCAGAGCAGGTACCCAGACCCCTGCCAGCCCTGGCCTTTTCCTCAGAACCACAGCCAGCCCGACACAGCTAGCCGCGTTTTCGGAGATCATTCAGGTAGCCTGATGGGCTTGGCGACAATTTGCAGCAACGAATTCCCTCATTCTTTTGCCCAGCCGGGGTTACTGAGCAGCCAAGCAACAAGGACATTCTTCTTAAGAGAGAAAGAAAGAAAAGGGGGGAAAAAATCCAACCTAGAGATGGCGGCTTTATTACCCACCCCCCCCTCTGAGATCTAAATACCCTCCCCCACTTATCAAGTGGTATTTTCCAGAAAGGAGCAAATGCCCTCAGCGGCAAAAAGAAAAGAGGCACGAGAGGAACATCCTCTGTCCATTCCTTTTCCCACTGCCTAGCCAGCCAGGTTGGCTGCAGAAGCTAGTTCTCCAAGAAGTCGCACATTTACCTTCCTGGGCCCTGAGCCCGCTGGCCTCTGTCTCCGCTGCCGCTGCAGACCTCGAGGCAGGCGCTGCTTGCAGGCACCGAGCCGCCCTGGGCTGAGGCCGGCGCGCTAATGGTGAAGGGCAGGGCGAGGGGTCATTCGAAATCATTTACAAACATATCACAAAGTTTCATTATTTTTGCTTTGCCGACAGCAGCACACAAGAGTACAAAAGTTCACGAATTTTGCCCGCCCCAGTGCCTCGATGCTGTCCAGGGCTTGCTCCTCAGTTCAGAGCACCAAGAACCCAGAGTTACTTAAGAGTGCGAATGGGTTTCAGGGCAGAGGGATGCCTGGGCTCTAGTGCAGCTTTTGGATGCTTCACTGCAAGCTAAAGGTGTTTAAAATTTTTTGGTATTTTTTTATTCCCATGGTCCATAATTCAAAAATTAAAGTTTCAAGCCTTACCCTGGGCCTGGTGAGGTGAAGCAGGGATGATTCCCCCACCCGTCTTCCAGCCTGGCAAAATTGGCCCTGACTTCTACTCTGCACTTTGCACTCTGTCCCCTACCCTCAATCCTTTGACCTGCTCTAGCTGTTTCATAGGGATTTCCTGAGTGTCAATTCTAATAAAAACTCTGAGGCTGCTGAATCTGTCCTAGAAGAGGAGTCCCCTTCTTCAATTTATCCTAATTTATCCTAATGCCAAATACTCTCTCATACCCACCTTTATGTGGACACTAGGCCTAGGCTTTATCTAGACAAAGTGGGGGAGCGTGCTGGGCAGGGTGGGGTCCAGGGTGAATGTACAACATTTTCATATTTGTGAGACACTGTGACCTGCATTTCACCTTATTGCTCGACTTGTTCAGACAGGTCAAAGCCAACGAGTTATTGATGAACAAAAGCGTTAAATATTCACCTCCCTCTCAACTGCCCATAATAATGCTTTTGATCTCTCAGGCTTTTTGTGCCCTGTTCAGCTACAGGGCCCGAATGTGAGTTTGCAAGCCAGCAGCCTTGGCCAACATAAGCACTCAGAGCCAGGGTAGCTGGACGAGGGGGGACAAGACCAGGGGGTCCTGGGGACACCAGATTTTTCTGGCTGGAGCCAGAGCCCCGTTTCACTTGAGCCATCCTGGTTCATAGAAGTAACTATGTGCTGGATGGATCTCCACTTTTGAGGGTGGGGATTGCCTAGCTCAGCAAGGCTAAAAACTTAGCCTGGAGCCCAACCCCACTTTTTTGGACTATGAAGAGAGCTTGCTTCTCAAGAGAAAGTGCCTCGTTCCTGCAACTCTCGCAT